CGGGCTCCCTGCTCGGCAGGGAGTCTGCTTCTCCCTCTGACCCTCCTCCCTCTCATGTGCTCTCTCTCATTCTCTCTCTCTCAAATAAATAAATAGAATCTTAAAAAAAAAAAAAAAGTCAGTTGAGTCAGCTGGGTGACTGAGCCACCCAGGCACCCCGTCCTCAATAACATTTTTACAGCAAATTTATAACAGATTTCATCGGGCTGCTTTTGACCTTTTTTTTTTTTAAGACTCTATTTTTAAACAATCTCTACACCCAATATGGGGCTCAAACTCACAACCCCGAGATCAAGAGTTTCAGGCTCTACTGACTGAGCCAGCCAGGCGCCCCTGGCTGCTTTTGACCTTTAATAAAAGCCAGGGACTTGGTGCCTGGGTGGCTCAGTTGGTTAAGCATCTGCCTTCAGCTCAGGTCATGACCCCGGAGTTCTGGGATCAAGCCCCACATTGGGCTCCCTGCTAAGTGGGGAGTCTGCTTCTTCCTCTGCTTCTCCCTCTCCCTCTGCTCCTCCCCCTCTCACTCTCTTTCAAATGGAAAAATAAAATCTTAAAAAAAAAAAAAAAAAGCCAGGGACTCAACTTTAAAAATGCCACTCTGAAGGCAAGCTTTCTGGTGTCCAGCTCCGTCCCAGGATAGAACTTAGGATGAGCTGGGTGTCTATAAACCATGTCCCATAAGCAGGACCACTTCTCTTTTTCGGGAGAAGCTGAAAAGGACAAAGTGGGCCTGGCCCTGGGAGCTGGGCCTGAGGCTTAGACATTCAGTCAACAAAGTGCTGCACACACCAGGGGCCTGAGGCCTGGCGGAGGAGCTCACTGAGCCGGGCTGGGGCTTGGGTGGGCTTCCGAGAGTCTCGGAGAGGCTATGTGTACACGCAGGTGGACTTTCCTCCGGAGAAGAGGCCCAGCCTTTGCTCCAATTCTCAAAGGCATCCGTGACTCCTAAAGGAGCAGGACACCTCATCTGGGGGGTATCTTCTGCATGTTGGTTCCATAAGGTTCCTTGCACAGGCCCTGTATTCAGGCTCAGCTTCAGCTTCCTCTCTGGGAAAATGAAAACACTTGTTATTGATTTTTTGTCTGTGTTTCTAAGACTGTCGCGAGTCTGTCCTGCACCCACCACTCACAGGCTGTGTAATCTCTGCCACGTTACCCAGCTTCTCCGAGCCTCAGAGTTCTATCCACTTTGTAAATGGTTGTTTGGGGAACCAGGAATGCAAATGGGGTCGATAATAGCCCGCCGACTTTGGGGCACATAGTGCTTCTGGGAGAGCCAGGGGTGGGTGAGTGAGCGTTGGACACTAGGTTGTGCTAACAGGGTGAAGCGGCGGCCAGCTCTGCGGGGCTAGCCAGGGTCCAGACTTCCACAAGCAGAGCCGCCCCGAGGCAACCCAGGTGGGGAGCTGGGTTACCTGTCCTTTGCTCTGGCAGGTACTACATGGGGGACACCACGGACGTCCTGTTCGAGAAGTGGTTCTACTGCAAGGACCTTGGCACACAGTTGGCCCCCATCATCCAGGAGTGAGCCCCAGCCCGGTCCCTGCCCCTTGCTCTCTGAGGCCCCCTGCTCTGGCTGGGGAGGGCAGATCCACCCAGCAGTGCCCACCACACTGGGGCCAGCGTGCCTGGGATGTGGGGGGAAAGTCTGCCCCTCCCAGGGTGGGAGGGCCTGGGCTGGAAGGGAGGGAGGGTGGACCTCCATCGAGTTCTGTAGGGCCCCATGAGAGTGTGGGCTCCTGCACCTGAGAGCGTATGAGTGTGTGTGTACTGTGTGTCTCCCTGGCCACTCATTCGGGAATGCTGGCCACTCGTCCTCCTCCCCATTTCTCCCTGCAGGTTCTTCAGCTCTGAGCAGCACAAAACAGGAAAGCCCATCCCTGGTGAGCCCCCCAGGGAACCGCCTTTCTCCCTCCCTCTCTGCTTTCCCAGAATAGAATGGGTCTTGGTCCAGAGTACCAGTCTCCTTTTGAGTTCTCTGCCCCAGTACTCAAGGTACGAGACAATGGCACCAAATAGTGTCCCCCACGTGGCTGCTTGGTGCTCGAGCTGGATCCAGGGCCCATCCTGGTGATTCAGAGCTGGGAGCCCTGGGCCTGCTGGGGCTCTGGGCGGGCCGGGCCAGAGGCCACTGACATAGCTGTGCTGTGGGCGCAGACCAGCTGCTCCAGGAACCGCCATTCCCCCTGAGCACACGATCTGTCATGGAGCCCATGTCCCTGGAGGCCTGGCTGGATGGCCACCGCAGACAGCTGCAGGCAGGCACACCCCTCAGCCTGTTTGGGGACACCTATGAGACACAGGTAACGAGGCCCTGGGCCATCCAGGGCATCTACCCAGCAGCCCTAGGAAATGGGAACTAATCACCCACACAAATGCGTGCGCGCGCGCGCGCGCGCACACACACACACACACACACACACACACAGTTTCAGAGGTTGTGACACAAACAGAGGTCTTCCTGTTTCCTGCCTGACTCAGAGAGTGACGGCTTTGCTAGGAGTGGAGGCTACGTGGTCTCAAGCAGTCTTTCTTTGCCTTCAGAGTGGGGGGTTGCCCCATAGGCTGACCGATTCCTGGGGGTCTAGAGTTATCCTTCTACTAGGAATTCCTGAACTTTTGGCCAGTCTCAGCCTGGGGAGCCGGAAGGAAGAGAGGTGCCTGGCGGTGAGGTTGGGTGGAGAGGTGCACAGAGAGAGACCCACCCAAACAAAGTTGGCCTTCTTTCATTCAGCATTTGTTGAATGCCTATTATGTTTCAGGCTTTGGTAGGAGAAAAAGAGTCACTGCCTCAAAGAGTGTATGGTGTGATAAAAAGACAAGTTAATCAACAATTACCACAATCAGGTGGTATGTTATTTGGTAGAGAAGCTTCAGGAAGCCATAGGACAATGAAGGAGGAACCCAGGCTGGGAGGGAAGTCAGGGAAGACTTCTTGGAGGGGGTGACGTGTAAGCTGCATTTTAAAGCAAATATAGGAATTTGCAAAAGGAAGAAAGGGAGGCTGAGAGAGCATTCCAGGTAAGGGAAAAGCATGGGTAAACGCATGGAAGCTTGCAATAGCCTGGCACTGCAAGTAGCTGAGGTTGGCAGGAGCCAGGGCAGGGGAGTGGGGGCAGCAAGCACCATGGCTGGATGGCAGGAGTAGCAGGCAGTGCCCAGGTCCTGACAGGTCTCCTGGGCTGGACAAGGGGCAAGGCTCGGGCTTGTTTGTGCTTTACAGTTTGCCATAGGCACATACCTTGCAGTTTGAATCAGACACCCTCTTGGAGGGATGCTCCCTGGGTACACACACACCTGCCTTGAAAGTTCTGGCCTGCAGACACCTGAGCTTACACAGGGCTGTAAAAACAGGGGCATGCCACAAAGCCCCTCCCAGCCCATCACGGCAATGGCATTCGGCATCGAGCTGGCCTCCCGGTGCTGCCTTCTGCCTCGTGCACACGCCTGCTCCCACCTGCTTCAGTTTATGCCAACAGATATCTACTGAGTCCCACTCTGGGCCAGCAGGAGCGAGACCTGCACAGTAGCTGCCGGCTGATGCAGGTCAAAAAGTTCGTCCCCTCCCATCTCCCTCCTCCTCAGGCCAGAATCCCATGGAAGAAGGCAGGTGGGCACTCTTTGGAGAGCTCTGTGTGTGATACATGAGTCCACGCTAAGCCGTGCACACACGAGTGCGTGTGTCCCGAGCGTGCCCCTGGCAGTCATGCCTTCATATGGGTCAGCAGTCATGGGCATGGGCAGCCGAGGCATCCGATGCGCACGTGCATGTGAAGGGCAGGCAGGCGTGGTCCTGGACGGCGGGCAGCGCTGCTCAGCAGGGAGGCAGCAGGGAGGCCCGCGGCCGGGCAGCCTTCCCCTCCAAGTCCTGGTCTTGGCCCTACACGTGAAGACAGGCTGTGCCTGGTGCTGCGGGCCTAGCGTCTGGGGGGCAGGTTCAAGGCCATCTCCTGTGTGGGGCCGAAGCACCAGAAAGATGTATGTCGCTTCCTGCCAGGTGATCGTCCGTGGACAAGGCAGCAACGAAGGCCCGAGACAGGACGTGGATGTGTGGCTGTGGCAGTTGGCAAGTGGGGCCCCTGACAGAGGGTGGCACATCCTCCTGCCCACGGGGACCAGGCTGCCCCTGGGCCTTGAACGCCCAGAGCCTGGAGTGGCTCCCAGGGCCTCCTTGCCAAGGCAGACTCAGGGACCCCTGGACAGGTGTTGAGGCCCAACGGCCTCCATTCCCATTCTCCTGCTCCTCTTTCCCAGGAGGGCTCCTCTGTGGTGACGATGGGGGAACAGCACCTGAGCCTGGCCCCGGATGACAGCCTTCTGGTGCCAGCCGGGAACGCGTGAGTGCACGGGAGGACTTGCTGCCCCCCCCCAAGCTGTGGGACCACCCTCCTTCCCCTGGGATCCTCAGGGCCCACCTGTCTGACCCCAGCCCACCTGTGTCTCCACAGGTACACCTGGGAGCGAGGGCAGGGCTCTGTGGCCTTGGCTGTGACCCAGGACCCCGCCCGCAAGAAGCCCCTGGGCTGATCCTCTGGGTGCGGCCCCGAAGCAGTGCCTCCCTCCCCCACATAACTCCCCTGCCCGCTGTGCTTCTGGATGTACCGCTGCTGAGCCACTCTGTGTCCCCGGAGCTGGGCCCTGGACATCACCATCCACCCTCCTCCTGTCCTCTCGGCCGAGATGCCAGGCTCTTGGGGGGATGGTGGTGCCCCTTCTCCTCTAACAGCCCTCCGCCCACTGCCCTGCACGGTCTGCTCCTTGATGGAGGCCGGACTACCTCTCCATCCCTCTGTCCCCACAGGCCCAGGGCAGCACTTGCCTGCTACCCAGAGGGCCCTCAGTAAAGGCTTCCTCGTGGACAAACACCTGTATGTCTGCATGCACACGGGCTGTCGTGGATGGCCGACCCCCTGTACTCCTGTGACTCATGTGTGTGGTGTGTCGGGGGCACCAGGTGCACGTAGATGTGCAGACGGTCTGTTAGTGGGTGTCCCTACTCGTAAAGGGTCTCTCTTCACTGTGTGTGTGTGGCCCATCCATTCCCGGTCCTGTGCTCATCCTGGGGACACAGCTTATATTGTCCCTCCCCCTCTTGAATCTTTCCCGCTTACTCTTTTTACATGGCTTTTAAAAATAGTGTCTGTTGGGTTTTTCTCCCCAGTAACAAGTGATGTGTACTAATCATAGAAAACAAAAATACTTAAAAACCCAAGATCCACCACGCAGAATTAACCACGGTTAGCACATGAAGATCACGATAACGCTCCCACCGCTATGTACAGTCACCGTGTCCAAAGACTCAGGAGGCTCCTGGGTGCTCTGCGGGGTTCAGGAGTGCCGAGAACCCTAGAAGCAGCCGTGGGTAGAGACAAAACCCAGAACCTACAGCGGAGACCAGAGCCCGGTTTCCTGGGACTTCAGTGAGAAGTCCAGAAGGGGTTGCAGGTGGGGGTAATCGAAGTGGGATCTGGATGGAACAGGTCCCTGGTTAGGGTCAAAGCTTCCTCTGGAAAACGTGGATGCTAAACCCTGCCTTCCCCCACTGTGGCCCACTGTTTTGATTCGCTCCACCATCTGTTTTGAAAGCAGATGGGAACCTGGCTTTGCTGAAAGGGTTTCTGCCCCAGGGCCTGTGCCCACCTCTCTACCCCTAAGGCTTTCCTCTCCCACCAGCCAAGAAGAAACACTGGCAGCCTCCCCCACAAACTCACACAGTCCAGGAGGTGAAGGCAGAGGCTAGTCCGAACGTGGGCCGCAGCAGGGTATTGCTCTGTTCCCCCAGGAGAGAACACGGGGAATGTCCCGCAGAGCCCCCCACTGCACAGGGCCAGGCGGCCAGGAGAAGACGAGCTTGTCCCTAGTGCCCAGGACAGACCTAACCTGAGAAAATAACAAAAATGAGATCTTCTGTTTTTCTGAACATTAGCTCCGTGCTAGGGAGTTCCCTGAGAGGTTTGGCAAACAAGCGGCTGTTTCCAAACAAGGCCTGTCTGCGTTCAAAGCTCAGGCTGGTGGTCTCACCACCTGGCATCCTGTGGTCACAGCCTCTTACAGCCTGTCTCCCTCAGCCTTGGCCAGATGGGAGCCCAGGACAGAGGAGAGAGAGGCCTGGAGGCTCTGAGAGAGAGAGGCCAATGGCCAAATGTGTCTGAAGCCCCGAGCCTAGGCAGGGTTGGCACGCACGCACCCTGCTGACCGTAGCCAGCCGGCAAGGGCGGGTGTCAGGTCCTGCAGCCCGGAGCCGCAGGCTCCCTCGGCCCTGTCCCACGTCAGGAGGAGTCCAAGGCCCCAGGAGCTCCTGAGAACACCACGTAGTAGAGGAACAGGAAAACCTTGCCTGAAGACAGCCCGGAATCTACTGCCCTGTCTGTGGTGAATGCTGGGTGCTGATGGAGGGGGGCGGACAGTGGACAGGGCATCTCGAAGGCTCTCAGGATTGTTCTATCTGGGGCAGGAGCCCAGTTTCTACCAGCAGGGGAGCTCTCTGCGTGTGGGGGGTATTTCGTGGGGGACATGGACTTTGGACCATCGGGAATTGGGGATGGCAGGGCACAAACAGGCTTATGCCACAAGGCCATGAGCACGTGGTCAAGGTATTGGCTGGAATCCCCACCTCCCTCTCCGGGGACAACATCCTGTTAGCTCCACATTCCCTGCTGCCAGAGCTGGTGGGGGCAGGGAGGCAGCCACCCAATCTGTACATGGGGGGGCGGGGGTGTACAGGGTGGCCTGCATGACCCTGAGAGCTATGGGTTGCCAGGACCAGCTCCGGCCTTCAGGCAAGCAAACGTCTGAGCCCTCGGCGCTGTGGACACTCTTCCCCACCTCACCCCAGCTGGGCCTTCCTCCCACTTTAGGTTCTCCCTGGGCCTCCGTCTCACCCCTGCTGAGCCCTGCTCTCCTCCTGTGCCAGGGGCAGCCCAGACCCTTCAGAGATCTTGCAGCCAGGTCACTCAGTGTGGGGGGAGGGAGAGGGGCGGGAGGGCTGCAGGGTTCCGCCTTGGCTGGGTGTTTCTCAGTGGCTGCAAGGATGCTGATGAAAAAACCCCAGGATATTGAGTCATTGTGGTGACTAGCTGGTAGTGAGCATCATTCCACTCTGCCCTGAACACTCTTGCAGGGGTAGAAAGCCTGGAAACTTCTCTCATGGAATCTCAAAACCTGAGCTCTTCCTCTCCCCTCCTTTCTCTCCCTCCCTCCGCTCTCCCTGCCTCCCTCCCCACCTCCCTCCCTCCCTTCCTCTCCGCCTCTCCTTGGGCCTTCACCACAGACTTGGGGGCCACCAGGGAGGCCATGGTTTCCTGCTTCCCAGCCTTCTCCCCCACCGTGTCTGCCTTCCTGGCGCCGATCCTGGGTATGGAGTTCGTCCTGGGCCTGGTGGGGAACAGCTTGGCGCTCTTCATCTTCTGCTTCCACACGCGGCCCTGGACGTCGAACACGGTGTTCCTGGTCAGCCTGGTCGTTGCCGACTTTCTCCTGATCATCAACCTGCCCCTTCGCGTGGACTACTACTTCCTGCAGGAGCACTGGTGCTTCGGGGCCACCACCTGCAAGCTCAACCTCTTCATGCTGTCCACCAACCGCTCGGCCAGCGTGGTCTTCCTCACGGCCGTCGACTCAACCGCTACCTGAAGGTGGTGAGGCCCCACCACGCGCTGAGCCGGGCCTCCGTGTGGGCGGCCGCCAGGGTGGCCGGGGGGCTGTGGGCCGGCATCCTGCTCCTCAACGGGCATCTGCTCCTGGCTGCCTATACCGACCGCTCCTGCCTCAGTTACCGGCTGGGCGTGAAGTCCTCGGCCTCACTTCGCTGGCACCAGGCCCTGTTCGTGCTGGAATTCTTCCTGCCTCTGGCCCTCATCCTCTTTGCCATCGTGAACATCAGGCTCACCATCCGGCGCCGCAGCCTGCGGGGGCAGGCGGGCCCGCGGAGAGCCATGTGCTTGCTGGCCGCGGTGGTGGCCGTCTACACCGTCTGCTTCTTGCCCAGCGTCGTCTTCGGCATGGCTTCCATGGTGGCCTTCCGCCTGCATGCCTGCCACGCCCTCGACCTCTGCACACAGCTCTTCCACAGCTCCCTGGCCATTACTTACCTCAACAGCGTCCTGGACCCCGTGCTCTACTGCTTCTCGAGCCCCAACTTCCTCCGCCAGGTCCGGGCCCTGCTGGGCCTCAGCCAGGGCCGGCAGGGCCCAGCCAGTGACGAGAGCTCCTACCAGCCCTCCGCCCGGCGCCGGGAGGCCTCTAGGGAGGCGCAGGCTGCGGAGAAGCTGCAGGCCGAGGTCTCGCTGGAGGGCCTGCTCGAGTAAGGAGGCCCCTCCCGGGACTGGGGGTTCACAGGGCCGCAGGAGGAAGGACGGCCGGGCTCTGACCTGGAGGGAAAAGGTTGCCAGCACAGGGAGCCTCAACCAGCGGGACATCTGCAGGAGCCAGGTGGGTGGCAGGGGAAGGAAAGGGTCTTGACCTTACACAGCAGTGTGTCCCAGATGACATCCCCAGAGCACAGGAAAGAGCCCGATGGCAGGTAGAGACAGGCAGGGGCTGTGACAGCTCCCCTCCAGACAAAGGGCCACCCCGCTGCCCAGTCCAGGGGCCAGAGTGTGAGGACTGAGAGCACGAGTCTTGCTTTGGAGATTGGACAGCCACATTTTCCATCATCTCTAACTTGTCCCTTTCAACGCTAATAAACTTCCTTTTGAAAATGCAAGTTTGAGAGAAAGACATGTATCATATGATCTCACTGATATGAGGAATTCTTAATCTCAGGAAACAAACAAAGGTGGGGTGGGAGGGATGCGCTGACTGGGTGATAGACACTGGGGAGGGTGTGTGCTCTGGTAAGTGCTGTGAATTGTGCAAGACT